ATAGTGATTTGGGTGAAAGTTCACAGAGCAAATTCAATTTTCATACAGCAGCTCTTTCTCCCTTTTTATTATTTTTCTTTTCTCCTTCCCTGGATCTTGTATCTTTTTTTCCTCTCCCCTTTTACTGGCTCCTTTTCCTCTTTCTTTTGGTTCTTCCCATCCCTTCTTTTTCTTTTTTGGAGTTTTCTCATTTTATCTTTATTATTCTTTTACTCGCTCTTTTCTCTTATTTTCCCCTCTCCAGATACTGTGGGGATTTTGTTTTCCTTTTTATCTTTCTTTTGTCTTTTAAAAATATTTCTTCTCATGTATTGCCTTTGCTTCCCCCCCCCCCAATTCTTCCTGTTTGTTTACGCAGCTTGTAGTTTTTGCTCTCTTCTTTTTATTTTTTAGGAAGGTTTTTTGATTGTTTTTTTGTCTACCTGAGAGACAGCAAACATGCTCATATGACCCAATCATACCCGCACCTCCTGCAGCCCCACCCACTGAGGGATGGCCACCATCTACTTCTGTACCAACTGACCAGCGATACATGGTGGCCAGTACCAGCCCAACTCACCTTTAACTGCTCTTCACAAACAGCTAACAGAGATCTGTTCACACACTCTCATTCTCTATCATACCACCTGTCTGGAGACAGGTGGTGAGTACTTTGTTGTTGTTGTTGTTAGGTGCCATCGAGTCATCTCCAACTCATAGCAACCCTATGCTCAGCAGAACGAAAAACCACCCAGTCCTAAGCCAGCTCCATGATTCTTGCTATACTTGAGCCCATCGCCTCTGCCACTGTGTTAATCCATCTTGTTGAGGGCCTTCCCCTCTTTTGTCAACCCTCCACCTCACCAAGTAAGACATCCTTCTCTAGGGAATGGTCCCTTCTGACATGACCAAAGTATGTGAGACGAAGTCTGGCCATTCTCGTCTCCAAGAAGCATTCCAGTTGCAATTCCTCTAGGACAGATCTGTCAGTTCTTTTATCAGTCTACGGTACACTCAGCATTCTTCGCCAACATGACAGCTCAAAAGCATCAATTCTTCAATCTTCCTTATTCACTGTCCAGCTCTCACATGCATATGAGGCAATTGAAATATCATACCTTGTGTCAGGTGCACCTTAGTTCTCAAGGAGACATATTTGCTCTTCAGCACTTGAAAGAGGTCCTTGGCAGCCGATTTGCCCAGTGCTATACATTCTCTGGTAGCATAGTGCCTAAGGCACTTGAATGCTCACCAGAAGGCTGGCGGTTCAAACCCACCAGCCACTCCTCAGAAGGAAGGTTGGGCAATCCTACTTCCATAGTGATACTGCCTTGGAAACCCAAGGAG